AGCCAATTTTGTTAATAAAGAATAAAAAAGGAAAATCTAGAACTATCTCTTAGTTTAAGGATTATAAATAAGGCAGTGACAAATGCAAATCAAGAGCAAATGAATAAAATGATGGGTCTCCTTTGTTAAGTCGGCAATCATGCAAGCAATTGTTAAGTAACATACGCAAAAGAGAGGTAAAACATTAATTAATCGACTACCATAAATGTTCTATATGTGAACATTTAATTAGCTAATAAAAGTAGCAACGTAGTGACTGTTCCTCGCGCTGCTGTAAGAAAATGTGTTGAACGCCTTAGTGTATATACATGGGTGTGCTAAAAGTAGTACAGAGGCAATATATATCCTCATTCTCCTTTATTCTATTTCGATTGATGCGGCATCCATTTCGTAAGCACGGTCTTATGCCTTATAACCTCAATGGGCGTCGATTCCATGATCATAATTTCGATTTGATAATAAAAATTTGGGATCAAGCAACCTTCAACAAGAATTACTCTATCCACTCTTTGTGAGTTTTCGTAGCCCCGCAAGTTAACCAAACTAATCGAAGGTATAAAGACCAAGCTGGTGTGGCCTTTTGTGTGGTCGCAGTCTCCTTTCGTTTACGGAGCAAGAGAGAGACTGAGATAAGACTAGGTAAGAGGACTACATAATTATAAAGCAGACTCTGATCAACATTCCCTGTACAAGGATGAAGAGGGGGAGAACGACAGTGAAGGTTTCATGTCGCTCAAAAGAGCACATCAGACTATATTTAAATAAACACGGTAAAAATTGTAATAGTGAATGCATGATAGGATGATACCGGAAGTGCGAATAACCCAGGGCAAAAGGGAATATACCATAATTGTTTAGCACACGTTTTGTCAAAGGATAGGCTTCACTTGTGTCTATGACGAGTTGTTATATGGTGCTAAGAATGGCGATACTCACTGACGATGCCGGCGAAACGTTTGGGAATGTACCACATCCACGGTTAAACTTTGGAAATGATGATGCAAACAATGGACTACGGAGTAGGTGCGTTCCTTTAAGTCTTCCTACCAATATGACCATGTTGCGAAAACAAGGTCAAACAACCTTTATATTTGCTAACCCATCTTCCCACATTGACCCACTAAATTTTCGACGATTAACCGATAGATGAATTTTTTGTGGATATTACGAGTAGAGCAATGCACTCTTTAAGGTAACTTAGTTATCATTTATAATGGATTTATGATTAGATTGTGATTAGATGTATGGATGAAGTTTGTATAACCGCAGCATAGTCACGGAAAAAGCACTGGGTAAAGCATGTAAAAAAACCTACAGCCAGGCAGTCTCTATTTTTAATAGAGATAGGAAAAAAGATATTAATAAAGCCATTTGGGCGACATAACAATATGCAATACAGTATGAATAAGTCTAAAGAGCTTAGCTAATTATTGACTTAAAAGAATGCCACTTGCAGCCTAGCGAGCAATCGTACTGAAAGAATTTCTAAAGGGTTGGTAATGATTGATTGATAGGTCAACAGTACCTTGAAGATGGATGCACGCCCCTTGATGTCAGGCAAAGAAACGTAGATCTGTCGATCAAATCTTCCAGGCCGCAAGAGAGCGGGGTCCAAAATATCGGCTCGATTAGTAGCAGCAAGAACTATGACGTTCTCGGATGTTTTGAATCCTAATTTGACGTAAGCACGAAGATAGCAGAGTAGCCGAGTGGAATGGATTTCACAGAAAAGAAAAGAAAAACAATATAAACAGAACATTCAAAAAATACATACATAAAGAATGGGTCCCATTATCAGAGAGAAGATTAACATGTTTAGCGGCATCAACGACTAGATGGAGACCGAAGTCCTCCAAATGTCGCTTACGCTATCAAGTAATCATCACAGAAGCAAATCAACTCAAAATAATGAATGAGGGGAAGAGTGGTGTAAAAATATTGAAGGTGTTTAGTAATAAAGCAATATGATGAGCAACAAGCCTGCAGAACAACACGGTAATAAAAATTGAGGAATAGCTGTCGTGAAACTATCCATGGTGTCCATTTAAAGGCCGATTTTATCTTATTATAGAATGTGCTAAGGGATTCAGTAGTCTGCCCCAGCCCTCCAAAAGGTGAAAGTTTGAGTTTGATATTGTAGACATAAAGGCACGTCAGTGAGATTGTATCAGTCTTGTAAAGTCATCCTTCGCCTTTTTAGGATGATTACCTATAAAATTAGAAATAGAGGAATAGAGGGGAGGAGCAAAATCCCGCGTGAAGATGCTGACTTAAGTAGAGGACGATCTGCATCAAATAGAAGTGAGTGCTGTTATCAAGGGCGTTCGGCGATTACATTTTTGACAATCGAGTGGTCACGAAACTGAGCACAATCAATTTTGAGGTTCCATCTCAAAACATAATGATGTGCAACTCGAGTTAGGGTTTAACTCGAGAGGGCAGGCTCCCAATTTGTTCAGCACTTCCAAATATACCAGATATGGGTTCCCGGGATTTTTGCCTCTTCACAAAAGGAATGGTAGATGGATTGAAAGATATGTAAAACTAGTTTTAACTTTGAAACTGTAAGCAAGAGCATTGAAAACATGTTTAGGGGGATAATCGAGAAGGCTACCAAAGCCAGTCTTTGTTGAGTTATCAAATTTTAAAAAATGTAACTGACATTTTTGCTACGGTATTCTATAGAGTAAATGTTTGCAAAAAGCAATCCAATGCCTGAGACCAATTGGTCCTTAATACATATTTTCAATGCCTTTATTCCATTATACGATAGGTAAGAAACCCCAAGCTCTCCAAGTAATTAATTATAATGAGCAGAAGTTGACTCAATAAATTGTAAAAACTTGTCGCTACTCATCGCTTTAAAACTATGGAGGGAGTCTAAGAGATCACTATTCAAAAATGTTAAAAAATTAATGTAAAGATGGACGATAATATAAAAATGAAGTTTAAGCTACAACAATAGATACGTGGGAAAAATTTCCTGAAGACCATTTTAAAGGATAAAATAATGAAAAGATGTTACAAAAATAGTGAATAGAGGTTAATAATCTCTGGTTCA